TGTGCAAATATCACCACTATCTGATTTCAGATGTTTGCATTGGAAACTTGGCGTCCCCTAAGCAATGACTCCTCTCCCCACCCACACACCCTTGGTAACTACTAATAAACTTTGGTCTCTATACATCTGTCTATTCTAGATAGTCCATATAAGTGGGGTCGTACAATATTTGTCCTCGTGAGACTGCTACCTCTTGCTTTGGAAAATAAAGCTTTACTGAAACAGAGCCGTGTCCATTTATTTGTCTTCTGCCTGAAGCTGCTTGGGTTCTACACAGCAAAATCGAGTGGTTTTGACAGGCCATGTGGCCCACAAACCCTGCTGCCTGGCCCTTGACAGATAAAGTCTGCCAATCTTGCTCTAAGCATCAATTCTCCACAGAGTTTGGAGGGGGAGAACATGCCAGTGGCACTTCCCTAAAGTATTACAGCAGAATGGAAGTGGGAGACATGGGTGGTCTTAAAAAGCATGTTGGGTATGCCTATGTTTTTCATAATCTAAACTACAGAAACTTAAGCCATCCCCCCACGCCCCCAATCGTGGTTGGACAAGGTAAAATGAGAATGTATTCCATTACATTCAGGGGACATTAAGCTTAAAATGGGAGAGAGAAAATCTGCCCCAGAGATTTTATTATCAAGGCCTTGTTTTCCCCATCCTTTAGAGCCATGCCTGTGGAAGCTGCTGCCAAGGACAATGTGAGGGTGTCTGGGAGAAACCTCGGATGGCCCTCAAAATGCCCTTCTACGAAATAGTGATAGACACAAGAGGCGGCAGTTTTATTCTATTTTCACCTCCCCCCAACAATTCCCTTCTCTCTGTCTGTCTCTCTGATCAATTTTACACAAATCTACAGCTTCAAAGGAGCTCTGGTGGCACTGTGGGTTAAGCACACAGCTGATAACCACGATTCCTGGTTCAAATCCACTAGTTGCTCCATGACAGTAAGATGAGACTGTGTGCTCCCATAAAGCCGTGGCCTTGGAAACCCTATAGAGTGGTCCATTCTGTCCTGTAGGATTGCTGGGGGTCAAATTAACTTGACGGCAGTGGGTTTGCAGGGCTTGGGGATTGTTTGCTTGTTTTTCCCTCTCTATAGCTTCAAATACACCTAGGTTCTGAGGACTCTGATTCCCAGACGCTGAAGACTAGATTTCCACCCTGGCTCTATCTCCTTCACTCCAGATCCATCTGCAGAATCCACGCCTGTTCTCCCACAAGCCTGTCCTGCTCTGGCAGCAGAGTCACCGTTACCTACCCAAACCAAGAAAAGCCCCTGTTGGGTGCTGAGACTGCAAATCTTTATGGCAGGAGAAAGTCTTATCTGCCTCCCGAGAAGCAGCTGGTGGGTTGGAGCCAGTGACCTTGTGGTTAGCAGAGCAATGCATACCCTACTACACCCTCCAGGCTCCTTATTAATCCAACTCTGTCACCTTTCAACTGCAATTGACACTGTTTTCTATTCTTGAGGGTTTGGGGTTTTGTTTTTGCTTCTTATTGTGAATTAGGTAAGGGTTTATCTCTTTATCTAGCATCAGTTTTTCTTTCACAATTCATTTACATTTTGTTTCCATTGGTCACAGCATTTAAATTTAACTTCTCCTGACATTTCTGGGGTGTTCTCATGGAGCAGTGGTTACGCACTTAGCTGTTATCCCAAAAGTCAGCAGTTCAAACCCACTGGCTGATCCATGAGAGAAAGATATAGCAGTCTGCTTCTGTAAAGATTTACATCCTTGGGAATGTCCCCCTGTCCTATCATGCCACAGTGAGTCGGAATGGGCTTGACGGCAAATGAGTTTGGTGTTCTGGTTTTGTTGCCACACTGAATAGTTCTTACCTGCACTTCTGCAGCGGCCTCCTAAGGATTCCTGGCCTTTGGTGTCGCCACTATCCAGAGAAAACAATGCCAGACAGGTCTTCCTGATGTGTAATATAATCACATGGTCTTTTGCAAAAACCCCATGTTCTTGGACACAGCACTTGAAGTGTCTCATAGCATGATCCTAACTACAACTAGAGCAGTAGCTCCTGTCACCTACACAGTACTGGCTCTGTCCCTCCACCCCAAAGCAAACCTCCTTGGAGTTTCAAATTTCCATGCCTATGTATAGACCTGGAATGCCCTTCCCTACCCTTTTATACTACTACAGAATCCTACCTCAAATTTACCTTCTTCAGGATCAGGGATCAGGCATCATCAGAACAAAAAATCATATCATTGTGAATGAGAGGGAGTGCGGAGTGGGGACCCAAAGTCCATCTGTAGGCAATTGGACATCCCCTTACAGAAGGGTTGTGGGGAGGAGCCAGTCAGGGTGCAGTGTAGCAATAATGAAAAATACAACTTTCCCCTAGTTCCTAAATGCTTCCCCACACACACACTATCATGATCCCAATTCTACCCTACAAATCTGGCTAGACCAGAGGATGTACACCAATACAAATAGGAACTGAAAACGCATGGAATCCAGGGAAGATGATCCCTTCAGGACCAGTGGTGAGAGTGGCGATACTGGGAGGGTGGAAGGAGGGTGAGTTGGAAAGGGGGAACTGATTACAAGGATCTACACGTGACCTCCTCCCTGGGGGACGGACAACCGAAAAGTGGGTGAAGGGAGACATCGGACAGGGTAAGATATGACAAAATAATAATTTATAAATTATCAAGGGCTCATGAGGGAGCAGCGAGGGAGAGGGAAAATGAGGAGCTGATGCCAAGGGCTTAATTGGAGAGTAAATGTTTTGAGAATGATGAGGGCAATGAATGTACAAATGTGCTTTACACAATTGATACATGTATAGATTGTAATAAGAGTTGTATGAGCCCCTAATGAAATGATTTAAAAAATTTTACCTTCTTCATAAGAATTGCTCCCCTGGGATTTCACAGCATCAGGGAGAAAGTATGTCTGTTTTCCCCACACCTCAGAAACTCACATGTGGGAGGCCTCAGCCTGACACACTGGTTCCACCATTCCCTACTCGAGCAGACCTGGTCATGTGCAATGATACCAGAAAATGGCTGTTGAAAGCCAAACAACCAAAACATTTTAAGACGGTATTTGTACTATCTGTGTTAGAATTCTTTTGACCTTTGGAATAAATAATGCTCTATCACTATAGCTATCAACAATATCTGCAATAATATTTCAAGTTAATGTCTTATCGGTTATTAATAGACCTGGATGGACATTTTCCCATGCTTCTGACTTTTCAGGAATAGCAACCCTGGCTTAATGTGAACATTTTTTTCTCCCAATGACTTAAAAAGACCAAAAGAATCCCACATTTTAAACAGAATCTGTTATCAAAAATCCATAGCCTTCGAGTCTGAGCAAACTGCAGAGCTACACTAATATGCTATGATCAAATTCTGAGGTTGTAAATGTTTATGGGAGTCAATAGCCTCATCATTCTCTGGAGAGGTGGCTGGTACTGGTGCATTTGAACCGCCTGACCTTGGGGTCAGCTCTCTAATGCTTACCAGAGAGCACCACGCACATGAACTAGACGGAATCCCAAAGGGCAGTACACAAGCTGAGAAACAGATGCAAGAAACGTAAGATTCTTTTTTTTTTTTTTCATTTGATTCAACTGAATTATTTAGTCACTTGGCAATAAAAGGACTCGAAGAATTCCACATCTTCAACAGAGGCTGTTGTGTTATTTACTAGCGGAGCCCTCCGGGCAGGACAAAGTCAGTCACAGTCTTAGGCCTCATGGATTTCATACAGTGAAGGGAATAAACACAAGCTGGGTACACTACACCCAAACCAGACCTGGACAGTTGCCTAAGAGGGCAGAGTGCTGTGATTTAAGGGGACATAGCACCCGGGATGGGCCCTAAACAAAAGATAAGAATGTTTACAACAGAAATGACATTACCAGCAGAGAAAGAAGAGGGAGAGGACAGAAAGGGAAAAAGGCCCAGGTGGTGGTACAAGGTGGACTCTAATGAATTCTATAAAAGGTGAACACATGGATTTTAAATCCTCAAGAATTCCGGGGACTGAATGAGGGAGTCAATTAGTGGTAAAAGCTACAGCATGGTTAGAGAGAAATAGAGCTGAAAAACAAAGACAAGGACATTCAATTTCATAATCACACCACTGGCAGCTTTACCCGACCTCCATGATGAGGTAGGAAACTAGTGTACACAGAATTGCAGCACAGAAAAACAAAGCTGAAGCAATAAAACCGGTTCATCATGAAAAGGAATGATTAAGGTACAAAGGAAAAGGGGGGGGAGTGTGTGTGTGTGTGTGTGTGTGTGTGTGTGTGTGTGTGTGTGTAAGGTTTTTTAAAAAAATGAAGACCTGAACATGGGGGGTGGGAAACAGATTGAAAAGAGAGAGACTATTTGGAACTAAGTTCAGAAAGTGGCTGGAGGCAATGTGTGAAGAGGAGACCTGGGTCTTGGAAAGGAAGGGGGCCTGTCTCCGCCCCCTCTGGGAAAGAGAAACTTTAGGGTCTCAGAGTTGAGCCAAAAAGGCTGAGTGAGATCCTGGGATAGCTAGGGAAGAAGAGACAAATAAAAAGGGCTTTCTCAGCAGGGAGGGCTTAGCTGGATTCTGAAACATAAATGTATCAAGATGCAATCACCATATTTCATCGATGACTTTCAAACAACCTCTTTCCTTAGGGAAGCTCAGGAATCTCTGACCATGAAAGCTGACTTTAAGCAAGGATGACGGATGACGGACCACCTGTCTAAATTAGTCAGGGGCAGGGCTTGGACCAGGACCCAACACACTCTTTATGCTGCCTCCTTTTTGATCACAAATTACCTAAGGCTAAAGCTACAACTTCTATGGTTAAATTTAAAAGCTAGTGGACAGCTTGAAAGCTTAAGAGAATGTAATGAAATGCTTAACTCTTGGTAGTACTGAGACCACACACAAAAAAAACAAAACTAGTGACATTTTATATGCAAAAGGTCATCAACTGGGAAAAACTATAAAGATTAATTACCAGACCAAACCAAGAGCACCACTTACCTGACAGCTTCGGGAAAACCCATCCTGTACAGTGTTACAACGACGGCTCCTCCAAGGCCTAAATTGTGCTGCAGTGCAACCTTTGCACCGGGAACTTGCCTTTTTCCGGCTTCCCCTCTCAGCTGCCAGCAGAGTTCGGCACACTGAGCCAGACCTAAGAAGTCGAATGCAGAACAGTCAGATCCGTGGCTAGAGAGCAGCTCCAACCAGTGTTCCCAAGCCTGTACAGGCGAACGTTTAATTATGACTGAAGCATTTAATTAAGCGGGGCCCCTATAGTTTTAATTATAATGTTTTGAAGCTAATTCCCAACTAGGGACAAAACTGAAAATCCAACTATCCCCAAGTAATCGCTCTTTACAAAACATAAACAAACTCACTGCCACGGTTCTGAATCTTATTGTTAGCAATCCTGGACGGCAGGGTGGAGCTCACCCTCTGTGCTTCCGAGACTGTAAATCTTTACTGGAACAGAAAGCCTCGTTTTCCTCTGGAAGAGCAGCTGATAAGTTCTAACTGTTGACCTTGTGGTTAGCAGCCCACCAGTACACTGTGCCACCCAGGTTCCCTTAGGCTTAAGTTCCCTGAAGCCTTCACACACACATCCTTATCAACTTGTTTGGTTTTTTTTTTTATTTTAGTGCTACAGTAACTGAAACAACACAAGTGGTGCCTTTAACAAACAGAAATTCAGGAGGTTAGAAATTTGAATTCAAGCCACTGGCACTATGAGCAAGATTTCTTCTCTGTAGACTTTGAGGAAAGGCCATTGTGTCCCATCCTTATCAACTTGTTGATAGAGAAAGATCGGAATATAACCAAACAGTTCTCTGCTGTTGTCCTGAGTAGATGCCACTGCCTTGGTTCTGAGTCATAGCAATCCTACAGACAACAGCACAAAACACTGCCCAGGCCTGAGTGATCCTCACAATTGTTCCTATGCTTGGGAACATTCTTGCAGCCACTGTGTCAGTCCATTTCGTCAAAGGCCTCTGTCTATTGTGCTGCCCCTCTACTTTACCAAGTATGATAGCCTTGTCCAGGGACTGGTCTCTCCTGACAACATGGCCTTACCTCTAAGGAGTAAGTATTCCCAGCTGTACTTCATCAGAGGCAGATTTGTTGGTTCAGCCCATGTGACCTTTCAATATTCTTCGCCAGCACAATAATTCAAAGGCACTGATTCTTCTTCAGTCTTCCTTATTCAATGTCCAACTTTCACATGCATGTGAGATGACTGAAAATACCAAGGCTTGGGTCAGGGTCACCTTACACCTTTTCATGACTCTATAGAGGTCTTGTGCCGATTTACCCAATGCAATGTGTCTTTTGATCTCTTGACTGCTACTTCCATGAGCACTGATTGTGGAAACAAGCAAGACAACTTCAATCTTCTCCATTTATCATGATGTTACCTATTGGTCTAGTTGTGAGGATTGGGTCTTCTTTACCATGAATTGTAAATCCATACTTCAGACTACAAACCTGGATCTTCATCAACAAGTGCTTCAAGTCCTCCTCATTTTCAACAAGCAAAGTGTGTCATCTGCATATCACAGGTTGTTAAAAAGCTTTCCTCTAATCCTGATGCCATATTCTTCTTCATATAATCCAGCTTCTCTGAATGATTTGCTCAGCATACAGACTGAATAACTATGGTAAGAGGATACAACCCTGATGGCAAACCTTTCTTGATCTTAAACCATGTAGCATTCCTTTGTTCTGTTTCTACAACTGTCTCTTGAGCCAGGTACAGGTTCGGCAGAAGCGTAATGCAGTGTTCTAGAATTCCCATTCTTCTTAAGACTGTCCAGAGATTTTTGTGATCCACACAGTTGAATGCTTTGGCTTAATCAATAAAATACAATAGCTTTCTGATATTCTCTGCTTTCTGCCAAGATCCATCTGACATCAGCAATGATAACCCATCCTCTGAAGCCAGCCAAAATCTTTGGCAGCACCTTGTCAATGTACTGCTGCAACCAGTGTTGAATGATCTTCAGCACAATTTTACTTGCAAGTGATATCAACGATGTTGTTCTATAAGTTGAGCATTCTGTTGGGTCGCTTTTCTTCTGGGTGGGTTCCATCATTTCTGTTAGGTGCCATCAAGTTGTTTCCACTGAACAGTGACCCTAAGTACAAGAGAACAAAACACTCCCTAGTCCTGCACCACCCTCACAATCATTACTATGTTTGAGCCACTGTATTGATCTGTCTTCTTGAGGGCCTTCCTCTTTTTGTTGATCCCCTTCTTTGCCAAGCATGAAGTGCTTCACTAGGGACTGATCCCCTTCTGACAAGATCCGAAATGTGGGAGACATAATCTCGCCATCCTTGCTTCCAAGAAGCATTCTGGACGTACTTCTTCCAAGACAGGCTTGTTCTGGCAGTGTATAGTGTATTTAATATTCTTCACCAACACCATCATTCAAAGGCATAAATTCTTTGGTTTTCCTTATTCGTTGTCCAGCTTTCACACGCATATTAGGTGATTGAAAGTACTGTGGCTTGGGTCAGGAGTCCTCATCATCTGATGCTTCCTGTGTCATTCAGTATCTTGCCAATACAATCCTTCAATATTGCAACTTGAGGCTTGTATTTTTTCTTGAGCTTTTTTTGCTTGGGAAATGCTAAGTCTATTTTCTCTATTGATTTTCTAACTCCAAGTATTTGCACATTTTATTATAATACTTTATCTTTTCACAACCCTTTGAAATATTTTATTCGGGTTTTAGTTCATTATTTCTCCTCTTACTTAGCTACTGTACAGCAGCAGTTCTCAACCTGTGGGTCGCGACCCCTTTGGGGGTGGAACGACCCTTTCACATGGGTTGCCTAATTCGTAACAGTAGCCAAGTTACAGTTATGATGTAGCAATGAAAATAATTTTATGGTTGGGGGGGTCACCACAACATAAAGGGTCACGGCATTAGGAAGGTTGAGAACCACTGCTCTACAGTCAAGAGTAAATTTCAGAGTCTCTTCTGACATCCATTTTGGTCCTTTTGTCCTCTTTTTAATAACATCTTGCTTTCTCCATGTATGATGTCCTTGATGTCATTCTACAAATCACCTGGTCTTTGGTCATTAGTATTCAGTATATCAAATCTACTCTGGATTGGTCTCTAAATTCAGGTGAGATATAATCAAAGTTGTATTTTGCCTCTCTATAGACTTGTTTTAATTTTCTATAGTTTCAACGTGAATTTTCAAATAAGCAATTAATTATCTGTTCCACAGTCATCTCTGGTCTTGCTCTGACTGATAATATTGAGTTTTACTATCATCTTTACACACATGTAGTCCATTTGAATCTTATATAGTTCATTCAACAAGCTCCAGGTGGATTGCTGCCATGTTTTGTTGTTGTTTCTAACTTTACTAATCTCTCTGCCTCCCAACTTTCTCATATATTATTTGAAACAGTTGTTGACCTTTTGGTCTTATGTAAAAAAATGTTTCGTTCTTCTTTAATGGCAATACTCAAAGTTGAAAAATCTTTCCTCTTAAAGGTGACTTCAGGGGACAGTTCTCATTTAAAGTTTAATGAGCATAGTCTCAGGAACTCACCCCATCTCAATAGGTCCAGTAAGTCTCAATTCTTTAAGAATTTGAAGTTTTGTTCCATATTTTTCTCCCTTTTTATCAAGTCATTTATTGTTTTGCTGAACAGAATATTAAGTAGTAGTAGCTTGGCACCATCTACTACTTCTGGTCTCAGGGTTAAGGAGGCAGTGGTTTGTGTAGACACTTGGACCTATGTCCATTCCCTTCTCTAATTCTTGAGTTTCCTTCTTTTCTATTTGTTCCATAAATAAAGACCAATGATCGCATTGTAAGTGGTCACTCATAACCTTTTAAAATCCCAGACACTGCTCACCATACTACCAAGTAAAACATAGATTTTAAAAACCCTATTATGCCAACTGACTAGATTGTCCCACAAGACTATATCCCTAAAACCCCAAACCAAGAAAAGTAATTTCATGAAGTAATTGGTTATGTCTAATTAGTATCAGCAGGAGCCCTGGTGGTGCAGTGGTTACACGTTGGGCTGCTAATTGCAAGGTCGGCAGTTTGAAACCACCAGCTGTGCCTCAGGATAAGGATGAGACTTTCTACTCCTATACAGAGTTGAAAGTCTCAGAAACTCACAGGGGCAGTTATACCCAATCCTATAAGGTCCTATGAGTCAGAATTGACTAGACAGCAGGGAGCTTTTGAGTGAGAATTCAGATCAATATCTGCCCATCCCACTCCACCACCCCCCACTTTTTGGGGTGGTTGTTGTTATAGCAAAATCAATAGAGCTTCATCTTTAAAGCTACTTCTCCAAGAGTACTGAGTTCCTACCAAAATAGTATGATTTTACAACTAAACAAATACCATGAAAGTCTGTAGAAGAAAACCTCCCACTCAATACCCAGTCTGAACGCAGCATGTTTGAGAAGCACTTACTTGATCATTTTCCGATTCTCTTGGAATCCCACTGCAGTGTGCTGTCCAAGCAGCCAGGGTAAAATTACTTAAACTACTCAGAACTGTCATTATGATAAGATTTTCCAGGAGTCTGGATTTTTTCTTGGGCTGTACTACAGCTAAAGGCTATGTATCAGATTTACTTGAAACATATCCAATTCTTCCATATGTAGCAAGTTAACTTTTATTCTTTAATAATTCCTCAGCTCTATTCAGACTACCACTAAAATTACCAAGATTTATATGTTCTTCCCTAACTAAAACTATCCTTCGAAACCTGATGATAAAAGGAAAAACTTTTTTAAAAAGGGCAAATTTACCAGCAGGGTAGTCTAAAATATTGGAGAGGGTTATCTAAGAGTAGTGTAAAAAAGTGTAAATCTCTCTTCAAAGTCCTTTACAATTGGGTACATTTTATCTTCCTGGGTGTTTTTGGTTAGTTTTTAGTACTCAAGAGAGTGAACTGGATGGCCTGCCAAGATGGCTAGCAGTTGATAAAAGAATACAAAACTTACACAGTTGTAGGAAAAATAAATGCTCTCATACTCTACTTTGGGAGTATATTCTCTCTTGTTGGGAGGACACCCTGGTACAATTTGGGGGGGGGGTACTTCATTAATTTTCAGAGCTACATGACCCTTTGATAGAGTGAATCCACTGCCTGGAGTTTAT